CCCCCCCCGCTCCTCCCGGTGCTCACGCCCACGGCCGCACCCTGTCGCTGGCACGGCACGTGCCCCTGTGGTTGTGGCGCGGGCTTCCTCTCTCCCAGCACACACTCCCAGTGCCCGAGGGCCCAGCGGCTCCTGCCTCAGGTTCCAGGTCTTCCCTGCCAAGCCTATGCACCTGCCCCGACTCTCCTCTGAGGACCTGCACTCTGTAGTCACCCATTGAGATGGTGAGCTCCCACAGGGCAGACGCTCCACGTGTGGGTGGGCCCCGACTGATCGCGGAGCAGACGACGGACTGCGCCCCCACCGCGGGAACCAGGCACGCCCCATGCCTCTGGTCCCCTGGCAGCACCCACAGATATTCACATGACCACTCTGCCCCTGGAACTCTCTGGAAGGCCCCTGGGTCCCTCCCACTCCTGCAAACAAACTAAGGCGTCTTCCTTCCTAAGAACACAGGGAGTGCCTGACGCCATTTGGTCGTGTGCCCTCAAGGGCCACGGCAGCAACCCCACCCTCGGCATTACAGCTGAGCACTCGAACCCGTGACACCGCTGCGGTTCAGACCCTAACAAAATGTTACCTTTGCAGAGCTCGGTGAGCAGCAGGAACTCAGCCTGCCCAGTGTCTGACTCCTCTTTCCCTATGGACGCTGCAGAACAAAACTGGACAATATTGGGGTGGCCAGAAAGTTTTTTCTGCAGGTGTCTTGTTAAAGGAGAATGCGTAAGTCTGCACATTTAAAAACAAATATATATGACATTAAGACACCACAGTCAAAATGTTGAATGAAATTACCTTACAATCCCAGCACATCGGAGCAGAAAAATGGAGAGCAGGTGGGGGCGACTAGAAAGGCAGGTTGCAGGTAGAAGAGGGAAAGGAGAGGGAAGGTAGGGGATGAAGACCACCACCATGCTGGCCACACACACCTGACCACAGGCCAGGCAGGACAGCAGGCAGAGGGCACATGCAGCGTGTGGGAGGCCACGAGGAGTGAACGAATCCAGCGAACCTCTGCAAGGCGAGGACCCGCGGGCTCAGGCAGCCGGCAGGCTCAAGTAGACAGAGCTTCGAGAAAGAAAAAACACATTCTGACAGCAGAGGGCAGGACCCCGGCGCAGGGAGAGCATGCGCCAGAGCGGAGAGCCAGCAAGAAAAGCCCCACACATCCACCATCTGTGCAACAGAAACCCAACCGCCCGGTTGCTCGGGGCGGGGCAGCTGACCAGAAGGGACCCTGAGGCCCACGGGAACCAGGCCCAGCAAGGGGCCCTGGCGATCACTGGAGCACAGCTCATGGCAGGGCGCCGTGGGCCACGTCAGGCTCATTAAGGGGCAGAGGGCGGGGAATCGGCCCACCCTGTGGACACAGAGACCTCTTGGGTCGGAACACCTCTATTCCCAAAGCTACCGAACCTCTTGCTATTACCCTGGGAGTGAAGAGCAAGGAAGAAAACTCCTTTCTACTAAAAATATTCCACAGATAGGTCCAGTAAAAGCAGAACGCCCATTTTAGCACATCCAAAAGAGCTTCAGAGCAGCTCACGGCAGCAAGCAGCCATAGCGTGATGCAGGCCTCCCTACGTGACCGCACGTGCTCGCAGGCCCGGGAAAAGGATACCATGAAACAAACTTCCTGAATGATGGCTCTGTTCTTTTCCTCTTCGTTAGACAATAATCTCTGTATCAGGAAATAACAAACAAGGAAAGATTAAGGAGCGTTCGTCTGTCTACTCTACACCCAAGAGAATAAATGCAATGCCGCCGAAGAGCGTAACCCGCTTACCTGTATTTTAACATCTGGCCTGTGTGAAAACTTGACAGAAGGTTAGAGACCCTTGAACATGGTCCTTTATGATCCAAGGACACAAGAAAAACTAAAAATAGGAGGCTTTTCTCCAAACAGGCTACAGCAAAGTTAGACAATCCAGGAAAATGGGAGAAGACACTAGCAGAGACGTGGGCCTGCGTTCCCGATCTCCAAGGCCAGTCAGTGCCTCCGCAGCAGCCAACAAAACCCGCCCGGCCCCCACAGGGCCTGCTGCGCTCCCCAGGTGCCCCCCACCGTGACCCCTGTCTACAGACAAGCTATGCAGATTGGCGCCCACGTCCATCAGCAGTGAATGGACAAACCATTTCACACCAGTGGCTTTCAACACCCCACCATCTGCGGACCCCTCATTCTGGCACTGAGGTCACCCTGGGCCCCACACTTGGAAGCCACAACGTTAAAGTCCCCTAAAATGGCTGATGGCTCCCCTCAGAAGGAACAAACGGGACAGGCTGTAAAAAAGAAACGTATTCCTCATAATAGGAATAAATCTCTGGAAAGTGTCATTTAGAGACTTCCTTAAAATGATCCAAAAACCCACATAAATGTCATCCTTTATTACCTTTAAGGCATACTCTCTGCCACTTCCCAGATCTTGAGCTTCATATACAAATGCAAACCCTCCTGAAAATTAGAGAAATAGACATAATCAGTTTAGTGCTATGACTCTGACAGTAAGCCTTAAAAATATCTTCACTAGGTGAAATACAAACTGGACTTGTGACTAGCAATTTGTTTTCCACAAACATAATGTCCCTAATTGATATGATCCTTTCAAATATCCTGCTTTGGAGACAGGAAGGAAATCAACACAGGCACAGAGATCAATGAGGAAAAGAATGGAGAAAATCAACAACACCAAAACCTCTGAAAGCCAAAATTCTCTGAAAACAAGAAAATGAAGCATAAATTCTAGATAGATTGATCAGAGAGGAAGCAAGAGCAAGAAAGAGAAATTAAGAGAGGACAAATTACCAGCATCTAGAATAAAAGAGGCCAGCAGTGCCCAATGCCCAAAAAAAGACTTTGAAGTACATCCAGTATCCTACATAAACACATGAATTCTTCACAAATTCTTTTTTTAAAGATTTATTTGTCAGAGAGAGAAAGAGAGCGTGCACAAGCAGGGGGAGGGGCAGAGGCAGAGGGAGAAGCAGGCTCCTCGCTGAGCAGGGAGCCCAATGCGGGGCTCAATCCCAGGACCCTGGGATCATGACCTGAGCCAAAGGCAGCTGCCTAACGACTGAGCCCCCCAGGCACCCCTCTTCAAAAATTCTTAATTCTGGGGCGCCTGGGTGGCTCAGATGGTTAAGCGTCTGCCTTTGGCTCAGGTCATGATCCCAGGGTCCTGGGATCGAGCCCCGCATCGGGCTCCCTCCTCGGCGGGGAGCCTGCTTTTCCCTCTCCAACTCCCCCTGCTCATGCTCTCTCTGTCAAATAAATAAATAAAATCTTTTAAAAAAACAAACCAAAAAACCCCACAAAAATTCTTAATTCTGAGTAAAATAAAATGTCAGCATAACAAACCCAACAATATATACAAAAACATAATACATCATGACTGAGTAGAGCTGGTTAAACATTTGAAAATAATTTAATTCTCTTGTTTTCAGGATTAACTTGCTTAGCTTTTTCTAGTTTCCTACAGTGGAAAATTACATCACGAAAAGAACTCTCAGCAGACTAGGAACACGAGGACGCTCACTAGCCTGGTAACAGGTGTCTACAAGAGACTAACCGTCAGCCTTGTGCTGGGGGGTAGGGGACCCCGTGCTTTCCCCAGCACCAGGAACAAGGTGAGGACAGCTGTTGGCACCTCTGCCATTCAATATTGCACTGGAAGCCCGGCCAGCGCAATCAGACGAGGAAAAGAAATAAAAGGCATCCAGATTGAAAAGGAAGAAGTAAAAATGTTTTTCTTTGCACACAATGTGACTGTGCAGATAATATTGTGAAATCTACCCCCAAAAGCTACTATAACTAATAAAAAAAGTTTAGGGCCATCATGGGTTATATACACAACATTCAAAAATCAACTGCATTTCAGGGGCGCCTGGGTGGCTCTGTCAGTTCAGTGTCTGACTCTTGATTTCAGCTCAGGGCATGATCTGAGGGTTGTGAGATGGAGCCCCATGTTGGGCTCTGTGCTGGGCATGGAGCCTGCTTAGAACTCCCTCTCCCCCCTCCCCCTGCACCACCCTCCCCCCCCATGCCCCCGCCCAGGATCATGCTCTCGCTCTCAAAAAAAAAAAATCAACTGTATTTCTACACACCCTAAAGATTTCTTAGACATAAGAACAAAAGTATGATCCACAAATGAAAACAATGACAAGTGGACTTCATCAAAGTAAAGAACTTCTGGTTTTTTAGCCACACCACTGAGAGGGTGAGAACACAGGGCACTAGCTGGACTTTCAATCACTTGCCCAATAAAGGACTCTATCCACAAAATATAAAGAAAATCCAAAATTTAGTAACAAAATTTTTAATGGGTGAAATACGCAAAAAGACACTTCACCAAAGATACACGAGTGGTGAGTTAGCACATGAAAAGATGTTCAACATCATCATACATTAGGGAAACACACACTTAAACTCAAGAATCCTGCTGTCCATCTAATTAGAAGGCCTCAGTTTTTTGAATGGACCATATCAAGTGTTGATTAGGATGTGGGTCCACTGAGTGCTTACACACTGCTTGTGGGAATAGTCTGGCAGTTTCTTCAAAGGGTAAAGGTAACCTGGCTCAATGGCCCTGTCTGTCATCACACTGCTGGGCATTTACCTAGGAAAAATGGAGGCCACATCCATACAAAGACTTGTACACACATGATCCCAGCGGCTTCATGTGTAACTGCCCAAACTGGAAATAGCCCCCACGTCCATCAGCAGTGAATGGACAAACCAATCATCCCTACGTGAAACACGACTCGGCAATAACCAGGATGGACTACTGTCACGAGCAGCAACATGGAAGCCGAGGAGACATGCTTTCCCTTACAGAGAAGTCTAAAAAACACTAACTCATCTACAGTAACAGAAAGCACATCGGTGACTGCCTGGGGGTGGAGGCCAAGAGAAGGAAAGGGTTGTAATGGGGAAGGATGAACATTCTGGAGGGGCGGGATGTGCTCACTGCCTTGCCACGGTGACAGGCACACAGTGTACATGTACTGGACATATTTAATGTGCCTGACATCTACATGTGCACTTTGTGTCTCATTTTTATCTCAACAGATCTGCTAAAAAAATAAAATAAGTCAGTCCATATAAGAAAACAGATGAAAGGACATAAGTGAAAATCCATGTAACAAAAATAGAAAACAGATGGCTTCACTGGTGAATTCTATGAAACGTTTAAGAAAGAATGAGCACAGCAATCTTGCACAAAGTCCTTCCTAAGTGACAGGAGAAAATAGTTGCCAACCCATTGTGTGAGGCCGAAGACACAATCAGAGATCGAAAGCACTCGTTAACACAGATATAAAAACCATCAGGAGGATACCAGCAGAGCGAGTCTGGCAACACCTAACTCGGGTGATAAACTATGACCACTCTAGGAACTAGGATCCACTCTAGGAACGCAAGGGTGGTTCGACACCAAAAACCAATCCCTGTGGCGAAGGACACAAACAGGACAGGGAGAGCAGAGTGCCTCGACAGACACACAGAAAGCATTTGTCAACATGCAAAACCACTCATGACTTTTTTTTTAAAAGATTTTATTTATTTATTTGGGGGAGAGAGAGTGAGTGAGAGCACGAGCAGGGGGAGAGGCAGAGGGAGAAGCAGGCTCCCCAATGAGCAGGGAGCCCAATGAGAGACTTGAACCCAGGACCCTGAGGTCATGACCTGAGCTGAAGGCAGATGCTTAACCAACTAAGCCTTTTTTAAAAGCTAATGTTTATTAATTCTGGATGGTAGGAACACAGATACTTGTTCTGTTACTCTTTCTACTTTTGTTTTTGAAATTTTTCCTAAAAGAGAATTCCCAATTTCAGGACTTGTTCTGTAGCTACATTAACCAAGACTATGTGGTGCTGGTGGAGGAACAGATTCAAAGATCCCAATGCAACAAAATAGCAAAGTCCCAAAAACAGTCACACAAATGTGCCAAGTGATGTTTAGCAATGGTGCAAAATCAATTCAATGGAGACATGTGCAATGACCAGCGCAAAAAAACAAAACAAAACAAAATCCAACTTTGATCTAAACTTTACGCTTTATATGACAACTCGAAGACTACGAATGTAAAAGTAGGAAACTCCTAGACAAAACGTAGGAGAAAAACCCCCATGATCTAGAGAACAACCCTCAGGATCTCGAACATAGCCCTCAGGATCTCGAGAACAACCCTCACGATCTCCAGCATAGCCCTCAGGATCTCGAGCTGGGCATAAGGGCTCCCAGATGTGACAGTAAGAGCAGACGTCACACGAGGAAAAGCTGATAATGTGACCTCATCATATTAAAATGGTGGGTCTGCAGAAGACCCTGTTTAAGATAAAAAGACAAGCTGCTGACAGAAAATTCTTGCAAACCACATGTCTGATGGAGAACTTCTCTCCAGGATACATAAAGGACTCTCAAAACTCAGGGACAAGAAAACACAGTTCTAAAATAGGCAAACAACACGACACGCAGAGACATTCTGCCCATGAAGGTGCACGGTCAGCCTCTAGAGAAGTGAAGACTGAAGCCACAATAAGGAATCACTACACACCTGCTACAACCATCACATAAAAACGCTGCACGGAATGCTGGCAAGGACCAGGAACGCTGGGTCACTCTTGGTTAAGAACTCAGCAGTGCGGCCACAGACTCCACAGGTTAACAGAGAAGGCGCCATCTGCCGGCCAAGGGGAGAGGCCGCACCAGAAACCAGCACTGCCAGCACCTGGATCTGGGACTAGGAGCCTCCAGAGCTGAGAAAATAAATTCCTGCTGTTTATGGCCCAGTCTGTGGCATTTTGTTATGGTAGCCTGAGCAGACTAAGACACTTATCCACTGCTGGTGAGAAATGTGAGGTTGGCAGTTTCCTAAAACAAAACATACAACTCAGCACCTGCACTCCCAGGCACTTATCCCAGAAAAAGAAATGAATTCACACAAAAACCTGCACACAAGTGTTTACAGCAACTTTATTTCTAACAGCCAAAAACAGCTGGTAACAACCCACATGTCCGTCACTTGGTGAATGATTACATAAACTGGGGTCCATCCACACCACGGAATACTCGTCACCAATAAACATGAACACATTATGGACACAACCACCTGGATAGATCTCCAGAGGGAAAAAAGCCAATTCCAAAAGGATACACAAATGTCAAGACTGTAGAGAGAGAGACCAAATCAGTGGTTTCCAGGGTTAAGAACGTAGGCGTAGGGGCGCCTGGGTGGCTCAGCTGGTTAAGCGACTGCCTTCGGCTCAGGTCATGATCCTGGAGTCCCTGGATCGAGTCCCGCATCGGGCTCCCTGCTCAGCAGGGGGTCTGCTTCTCCCTC